AGGTTAAGGATGTTGGGTGTCGAGATTTCAGGTAAGTTGGCTGTTGACTGGGTTCTACAGTCGCTTCCTGAATCATATAGTGAGTTCGTTAGAGAGTACTATATGATGAATCATGACGTGACCCTCATTGATTTGACCTATTTGCTTATAGCTGCTGAATCAGCAATGATTTGGCGAGCTGGTCGAGCAAATTTGTCTGGTAAATCAAACTCCCAAACTTCAATGGACATTGAAAATGGTGACATTGGAGATCCAGAAAAAGTAGATTCTAAGATAATTCCTTGTGCCATTCCAAAAGAGTCCATTTGCTCCTATTGCCAAGAGAATGGGCATTGGAGACGAAGCTGCCCTATTTACCTAAGAGATCTAAGAGATGGGAGAGTCAAAACGTATGGCTCTACTTTAGGTAAAATCCATTAGATAACTCTTTTAAGTTCCTATTCTAGATTCTTAATACATGATGTGATAAGATTACATTTGATGTTTTGTAGGATCGAAGAAAAGAAAGGAAGCTTAAGGGAAGAAGTGAGCTGAATCTAATCGTGAAGAAATGGGTTTCGATCGCATTACTAGAAGATTAGATTTTTGAGCTACTACTTGGAGTTAGAATAGATTGCTAAGAAATGTGTATTAACACAGTTTTTCAATTGAATTGCATTGTAAGGACAAATTTTTCCGCAATAAAATAAATTTTGATTTTATATTATTTATTTATCCTTGCAATGGCGTGTATGAAAAATTGATGTTTGTAAGTTTCTATTATTAGCAATAATGGATTTGATTCTTAATTATGTTATTTGTGAAAAGGTCAAGAATTTACCAAATAGGGAAAGTTTCTCATCGCCCAAGTTTCAATTGGACAGAAACTTGGAATCATACAACTTGGTTGCATGATGAATGAGAAATTTCATATTTGTAAATTAGACTAATTCGTTGACAAAGTGTCAAGTGAAGGACTAGGAGATCAAGTACACAAGGTTGTGTGTTGATCAAGTCCACCACAAGAGTAACAGAGATATTCGTCATGATTTACTAAGGTTAAGTAAATATGATTATACTTATGAGATTAAGTGTAATTCTCAGTTGATTGAAAGAGTTTCAATAAATAGCAGAACGAATAAAGAAGAATCAAGTAGGCAGAAAGATAAAAGTTTCTCTATTCTAAGAAGAAGGGAGAGTACCTTTTATTATGTTTTATGATAGGTCTTAATGATTTAGAACCATATCTCAATTGATCCTCTAAGTGAGTCTTAGTGCAATTATATGTCTGAGAAGAGGAATCAAGAATTGAAGAAATGGTTAAATCAAGAAGTCAATCATACTTCGTTCCAAAAACAAATCTTAGAGTTAAGATTGTGACATTGAGTGACAAGTCTTAAGAAGGTTTATAACATTCATCAAATGTGGGATTTGGAAAAGGTTTTCTTATTCTTGCACATTTGAAGTGTTTTGTCTTGATAAAAACTACACTAACTCTTGAATATTTGTTTATCAAGAAAAAGTTTCTTGACAAGAGAACCTTATATGTCAAGGAGTCAGTGGGAGTCTTAATGATGGTCTTGAAAAGTTTCAAGAACAAATCAAGAATAAACCTTATCGATCATCACTAGCACACGACTTGAGGTTTACAACCTATCGTGTTGACATTATTTTGTTTCTGTGCCATTCTAGTTGAGTTAATTATATATGTGAGTTCTATGAGTTCTCATTTGAACGCATAAAAGGCAAGCACCTTGATAAATGAAAAGTACATTGATATGAAAGGGTGAGATGCTTAACTACTTGGAAGACATGGTGGGCACTCGTGTTACCATAAGGCAAGAAATCAAGATTGAGAAAGTTTAGTCCATATGAGTTTGGATTTGTCGCAAACTTTGGTTTTGACAAATTCGCATTGATAGGAACACATACACCATTAAAATCTAAGTGTCATAAGATTCCCTCCTTCATGAAAATGACTGTGAGGAAATGCTTTCACTAAGAGAGATTTTAAGAAGATAGTGATTGTGAAATTGTATTCTCAAATTCGATTATGGTTACAATATCCCTTTCTATAATTCGAATTGTGAGATTTGGCAATTAGTCTGAATTGTTTATGAGCTATCTAAGGCAAAGGTGTATAAGATTAAGAAGCTTGATAAAGGATTATCAAAGCATTAGATATTAGAAATATGAACTTCAGAAATTCAATAAGTATTGTTTTCTAGAAGTTCAGTTGTTTTCTAAAACATGTCAAAGCTAGTGGGAGCATAAGTGTTATGCTTATATGATAATAATCATCATGATAGTGGGAGCGTAAATGTTGTGCTTGTATGATTATTAAGGCAAGTATTTCAAGTTAGCAATATTAATTATAGAAAATAAGAGTCATACTTTGCAAAGTCGTAAGGGTTAAAAAGTTGTTTTGCTATAATTAAGGGAGAGAATATTGTACTTCGTTTCAAAATCTAAAGCTTATATTGAGAAATTTTAATAAATTTAGTCAAAGGATACATAGTGTGTTCTTAAATTTCAATTATGATTACGGTATCCCTCTTCATAGTTCGAATTGTAAGAACGTGACACATAAAATTTTATGGCAGAAGATTGATAAAGTATCAAATCTTTATGTAAGCCATTATGCATCGTGTCCCATACACTTCGGGTAAAGGATCGATTGTAAATGATATAATATTTGACCATTCTAAAATTTTCCAAATGTCTAGCGCATTAAGAGGGAAAAAGGACAAGAATCGGTTTTGACTAAGATAATTAAACAACTATCAAAGGACGATCCAAAGCTCGCTGAGGATTGGTCGCTTGTGAGTAGTTGGAAGTATGATATTGGATGGATCATATCAACATTATTATGAATAGATAAGATTTTATTAAGAATGAGTTGTCGTATGGCAAATATGGAAATGTTTCCATATTGGGAGTTGGGTATTGAGAATCTATGTCTAGATTAGAAACTTTTATGCAATAAGGATGTTCAAAGGAATGTACTTTGAGTGAGAGACATCATATCTAAAGAATTGTTTCTGATAGAGATTGGCCAAGTCTTGATGATTTTGAGCTATGACTTTACGAAAGAATCATTGCATAAAATGTTAGAGTCTAGCATAAGTAACAAAAATTTGATATTCTTATACTTATGATAAGGATTGGGAGTTGTGAAATGAGTATGATTGGAAATGTGTTCATTTGATCTATTTCACAAAGTAAGGACCGTAGGTAAACATTGTGTGCATGCTAAGAGCATGGGACAAGTGTCGTAATAATTCAAGTAAAAAATTGATTACCCGAAACAACAAATAATGAGTAATCAATATGGTGATTAAATAAAATGTTTTATTTATACCCAGAGTTTGGGGCCATATGGGATTAGTATTATTCTTGTGTTTCACTTTGCATGTTTTGACTTCCTGAATAATTAAATTGGTTCAGAACAATCAAATTATTCGAACGGACCACAGTCGTTCATATGTTGGAAGTAGGTATGAATGAAGACTATCGTGAATTGGTGTGTGGATTGTCTAAAGTGTATTAGACATAAGCAAATGTTTACTGCAACGTTCATGAGTGCTTATGAATGTGATTTGAGCATTGGATTAAACCCACGCTCACTTGGATCACTTCATGGATTTTATCACGAGTGATTGGTGAGAAGATAATATCTTATATTCTTGAAACCGAGATGTGTGAGTTGTATCTTGCGAGTCGATCACACATTGATAATATGTAAACGCACCAGTAACTTGGTGTCATAAAACATATTGTTGTGTGTGATTCGGTGAGTGAGTGCAAGCAAGCATTGAATCAAAGTTTATCCGTTCCTTTTATCCAAAGTGGGATGAAAGCGATGTCTGTGGGCCCCTCGATGATTTAGTGATGACACCTAAGCGCTTGGCCAAGCCGGGACTAATTTGATGTGTTCAATTGTAGTCTGTTGTCAGTCGTCATAAATCAGAAATCGGGAAACAACACATAGACAGAGAGAATGATTTAAATCCATGTCTCAGTCTATACGATATCTAGAATGGAGGAATATATGATCCCTTATCTAAAGGGCGCGTATCTGATAAGATCAGAGTTGACAGCGGCTTTTGAAAGCTACGATTGTAGATCAGGATCTGAAGTCATACGCAGAATAGTTATTAGACTTATCCAAGTGGGAGACTGTTGGATTAGTGTCTAAGCCCATAACTATTTTGGTATGTACTTGCCCCGATGGTGCATGGTCCTTTTGGGTTGCCTTCACCAAAGCAACTTGATAGGATGAATTATGGAGAGAAAGGAGTAATTATGATTTATTAATATATTATGAGAATAATATATTAAAGGGGAAATCATATTGTTTAATTAATATTAGTCAAGAATTAATAAGAATTAATTTTGTGGCTAAAAGACATTAATTAAATAAAAGGGACTAGAACTGTCAATTGTGTGATAGTTGAATATTGAGCTAATGGACTCCATAGAGGATGGAGTGGACGAATTCTATGGGAAACCCATTAGAAATCGTCCAAGGCCTCTAAGGAGGGAGTCCATGGGTTGCTTAGGGCCTAAGCAGTCAAATTAGGGTTTCCTTGTTAGATAACCCTAATAGCCTCACTATTTAAGGATCCCTAGAGCACCAAAAACGTGGTGAAGAGTTCCTTAGGGTTTCTACACGTTTTTGGGTGCCTCCTCTCTTATCATTCTTCATCCTCTTGCTCTTGGTGTTTGTGAGCCATTAGAGGAGTGACACTTGTGACTCTAAGCTTTCTAAAGCCATTACTAAGGAGGATTTGAGATTGTTATTGCTACATAACAATCAAGGTAAGATCTAAACCCCAATCTTATGTTAATATGATTAATTGTATGCTAGATCTAGGGTTTATAGCTTTGGATATTCAATTGCATGTTCATTAGACAAACTAGATCCAAAAGCTATTAGGGTTTGCATGTACACCATAGGAATGATGTTTTGCTCATAACCCATCAGAAAGATAGTGACTTGTTCTTTTTCTAACATTTAACTAACAATCTGTTTGAGTCATTTTTTCAAACCAAAGATCATACCCATTAGTAACTGCATAGTTGCTTAATATATGTTTAAGCTTAATAGGATTAGAAAATCTCACACCTAACACTGGTTTCATCTTATCCCATGGTTTTCTATCATCATGTACAATGTATTGGGGTAGAACATTCTCATCATCTTCATTGCTAGGTGTAGGAGGACAAAGAATCTTTAAAAACCTTTCATCTACAGTTTTGTTGGCTGCAAAGGGATAAGAAGCATCATCTTCTTCATGGTCAACAGAACATGAATCTGAAAAGACTGAATCTTTATCTTCTTCATAGTTTTGAACTTCATCTTCATTTGTTTCTTCGGGTTCCTCAGCGTCAATCCAGTTGAAGATAGGTTCATTGAGGTGGTCCACATGCACATTCATTCTCTTCCCATTAGCATATGCCATATCTAAATTCTTTATAGTCACCATCGTTGTGCAATATATGAATGACCCGAGTCAACGATTCTTGTGGAAGGCAGAAGTACACATCTTTGCAACTCTTTCTGGTGAGCCTCTCAAGGAAATCAATGAACTCTAAGTACCCAAACCCGCTAAAGTCAATGTCGTGAATGAATGCTCTATCGGGATCAAAGTAGACTAGGGGACTTGGTACAAACGTTCCATTGTAGTGGATGTCCACTACAATGAAGTTCCCATCACTGGGAGAAGATGCCCTAACTGAATTTAGGGATCAAATGTGAACTCGGGATCTATTTTAATGAGGGTGGAAGCCACGTCATTTCCACATAATGTTTCTTTTAAACGTAATTAAAGACAAACTTGTAAAACCGGCTATACCCGGTCATACTGGTATAATGTACACATTTCAATAAGTTCAAGGGTAAATAGAGTACGAAAAATAATTCAGTGACCAAATGTAAACATTTAATAAAATATGTTACACTAAGTCATTATATTTTTTTCTTTTTTTGTATTACATCCTAAGTCGACTTGTCAATAAGACCGGTTTAGAATGAATACTTTTTCATCTTTGAAAGTATGGCCTAACCATTATACAATATTTAAATTATACAATTTTAGTATGTGCCACAAATCAAAAAAGATAAATGCCTAATATAACAAGAATTATTATACATAATATTCAAAAGGGAAAATGACATAAAAGCCCTTAAGTTTTCACAAAAATGTCGGTTTTACCCTTGGACTTGTTTTATGTCCAGTAAATCCCGAAGTTTTGTTTAATTTGTTCATTTTTACCCTTGTAGCCGGTTTCTAGGTAACCTACCGGTTACCTAGGTTACCTAATGTCAGTAAAGCCCTTGAATTTTCAAAAATGTTCAGATTTACCTTTAAGTTTTTCAAAAATGTTCGGATTTACCCTTACCTTGATTATTATTTTGATTATTATTATTATTATTATTATTATTATTATTATTATTATTATTATTATTATTATTATTATTATTACTATTACTATTATTATTATTATTATTATTATTATTATTATTATTATTATTACATTTTTAATTGTATAAAAATATTTTTTACATACATTTTTAAATGAATAAAAACTTTTCATACGTTTTTAATACATTTTTATACATATTATTATTATTATTATTATTATTATTATTATTGTTTTTATTATTATTATTATTATTATTATTATTATTATTATTATTATTATTATTATTTTTAATACATTTTTAAATGTATAAAAATATTTTATACACACATTTTTAAAAATATATTTATTTGTATTTAGTAGGTATAAGTATAAATATATATTTATTTCATATAAAAATATATTATATACATATAAATATAAAAATACATATTTATATGGTTTATATTATATAAAAGATATAATTATATGTATTTGTACACATTTTTAAAACACTCGATTACAGATAAGATTTAGTATACAATTTGAAAAAACCTCTATTATTCAACTATATTAGGTTAATATTGAGTAGATAACAATAAATGATCAACAAATAACACTCGTAAATGAAAAATACATAATATAATGAAAAAAACCTTCGACAAAAACATTTGATCACTGTAAAAATTAAGTATTATCAACTTAAAATCATTCATTAACTATTTTTATCTCAAAAATTGATAACGAAATGTCAAATACAAGTGTAAACTTCATTTATGTTTGTTGTAAGTTCACAAAAAAGATCAAGAAATGCATCATTTTTTATATTGATCTGAAGCATTTGTTTTTGCAAAATCAATCATTGACGACATTTTTTAGTTTATCAAGCTTTTTCTGTTCGATTCAACAATTATAGATGAAGATTTAGGGTTTTCAAATGTATATAAATACTAAATACAAGTACATATATTTTTTAAAATATATTTATATTAGTAAAAATATTTTTATACATTTAAAAATGTGTGTATAAAATATTTTTATACATTTAAAAATGTATGTATAAAATATTTTTATATAATTAAAAATGTATTAATAATAATAATAATAATAATAATTACAACAACAATCAATGTAAGGGTAAATCCGAACATTTTTGAAAAATTTAAGGATAAATCTGAACATTTTTGAAAATTCAAGGGCTTTACTGGCATTAGGTAACCGGTAGGTTACCTGAAAACCGGCTACAAGGGTAAAAATGAACAAATTAAACAAAACTTCGGGCTTTACCGGACATAAAATACGTCCAAGGGTAAAACCCACATTTTTGTGAAAACTCAAGAGTTTTTATCTCATTTTCCCTATTCAAAGTCAAGTATAATAAAAAATTACATTTTTGTTGCAGGTTTTCAAGTCAGGTTATATACTCATCAGGTTTTGAAGTAATTTGATTTTGTGTGTACTTTGCCTTGCTAGCTCGTTAATATTATCTCCGCCTTTATTCTTTACTTCACAAGGGAACAAATTCCAATTGTTAAAACATTTCGATTTGCTAATGTTATCATTGATTCTCTCTCCAGCTAACATTCTTGACCTAGATTCTTCTGGATTTCAGTATAAATGGATGTTTTAGAGCTTCTCTCTAATCACTCAGGTTTGTTATTGTTTTGATTTCTACATGTATTTGGTTTATGATCTTCATCGTCTCTAATTATATGGTTTCCAATCATCATCTGCGTTTCAATTTCTCTATTGATTTTATTTTTGATATCCTTTCTCTGCGTTTCAACTTTATCTGTTGCATGTTCTTTGTCAGACAACAATCGGAGAACTGGTGTACATCATAAGGTTTTGTTTTCTACTTTTAGTTTGCGTTTTTCAATCATCATTCCACTATAACCAGTTCATTTCGATGGAATCAATCTCTCTGGAACAGGTAACTGACTTGAAATCCCTAATTCAATGTTCTTTGCTCCGAGTTCTCTCTTTTTTCTTGTTTAGTTCTTCTTGGAAATGATTTAGCCATGAACTATTAATGTTTTCATGATTTGTATGCAATTACAGAAGAAATCCATGGTTGTAAAAAGGGTAAAAGTGTCATCTTCTGCATAAACAGAGTGACCACTCCTTAAAAGGAATTTTAGTAAAAATTGTTTTGTAGCTTCTTTAACTTTATGTCATTTAATATTCTTCTCTTTTGGTGCTAATAAACATTTCAAATTATTTATAATTACAGGAGTGTCTGAAAGCTAAAAGAAAGAAACCGACTTAAAATGGCTTACATGTTCACTCCTTAGATTATTAAAGCAATCAGAAAAACTGTATCAGATGCTTAAGAATACTAGTTATACATTTGTTTTGATTAGTTAATGTCCAGTGTTTGCTACTTTCAAAATACTGTATTTTGTTTATTTGTTTGTTTTTTATATACATATACATTGAGTATATATGCATGGATAAATATTGTATTTTGTTTGTGGTTGTTATATATCATAATGATAGGATCTAAGGTTTTCTTGAAAAGTGAACATATGGTCATGAATTAAGGATATAGAATTTACAAAATGAGTTATGCAAGAAAGCACTATCAGATGAAAAATGGAAGAAAATACAGCATGATTTAAACGAATCTGTGAGCAAAATCCCTTTTCTATTTATTTGTGGATATATAATATATTTTCTATCTTTTAAATGTGATTTGAAAGTATATTTCTCTTACAAACTGGTTGATGTTGATATGTTGAATAAATTAAGTTCACAACAAAGACATTTAGGTGCCGAAGAACTTGATGATCTTAGAGGAAGGTACATAAGAAGATTAATTGTTCTAATTATTCATCATACAACTTTATACCAATAATCACACCATCTGGGTTCTCCCAACACAAGAGTGACCTGCAAAAAAAACAAAAATCATAGGCCACCTAGATTTTTGCAGGTATTCATCTGCGAAAATTTAAAAAAAAAATAAAAAAAATTCACAATTCACATAGATTTTTGTAAACATTATGGCTATTATGGTCATTTTTCTGATTTTTTTTCTAATGTGTAGAAAAACTTTAGAAAAGTGGCTATAATGGTCATTTCCTCTAAAGATAATATAATCTGTGTAACAATGACAAAAGTCGCAATAAAAAATATATATGAACAATTGAATAAAAACATTAAATAAAAAAATTAAGACGAAATACACAATATTGACCTAATCGCATAAACGATTTGAGTACTTTATTTGTTATTTTAATTTAATTAGTCATGTTTGTGATTATCTATTTATTGTTTGTGGATTTGAGTACTTCATTTTGATTAGTCATGTTTGCGATTATCTATTTATTGTTTGTGTTGGTCAATGTCAACAACATTAATAAAATATGTCAAAAGGCAATTTCATTTATTTTTTTAAACTTTCTATTACGTCAATATAAATTTTCAATTTATTTGAGGCATTTCTCAGTTAGGATAAAAATATAAATTAATTAGACTAAATATAACACTCAAAAGAACTTGTTCATACATGTAAAATCGTCGAATATTGTTTATTTTATATTCTTAATATTTATTTATAACTAATTATGTCACTAAGCAATATAAAATAAGTAGAAAATAAAGTTCAGAAATCAAAAATGAAACAAAATATCTTTTATTTTGTTTTCAATTAATCATAGAAATATAAATTATTTAGACAAGATAATTCAATACACCTATCCAATTGAGTGATAATAATTAAACAAATATAAAACGTATGTTCTTTAACTTATTTCTAGTACTAGTATCCCTTACTTATACTCTTTGCTAATTAAGATGTGCTATAATATTAGCCATCTAAAATTTAAAAAATAAACATAAATTAAGTCCAAATGCCCTATACAGATAATCTAAGACCAATTAAATATATGACATTAAGTATCCATACAACATCGACTTTTCTCATAGTAAAAACAATAAGCCTTGTTATATCGACCTTTTTTACAAATACCCACTGAAGAATACAATCATGTAAATGTTCATGACATTTACAAAGTAAGAGTTTAGACTAGACTTTGTCAATACATTTCCGTGTTGAGCTGTACACTTTTACTGACAAACTTCCTAACCCGATAGAAGCAATCCGTCATCATGGAGATCTTATTTAAAGCCTTTCAAAAACTCATCCTCTCCATCAAGAACGATCTGATCACTGTGTGTATTGATCATGGCTCAACCAAGCTATGCACCTTTATTCTCTCCAGTTTCTGTGATAGGGTCACAGTTCATGGTACCATATCAATTTGATATGATAGTTGATATAAATTCAAGCGGAAACCTTGTGATCACAGATATTAACCATAAAATCATGCTCAAAGTGAAACCATGCGACTCATCCTTCCATCTTCAGCGAGTGCTGCTCGATGTTTATGACAAACCCATCTGCATGATCCGAGAGAAGGTGACTTTAAGTTCATATTTATAATTCTTTGGTTTGTTCAGGAAGTTTGATGTTAAATTCACAATTGAAAATTAATGGACTGCATATTTTTTTTTCAGATCATGAGTGAGCATAATCGATGGAATGTGTTTAGGGGTGATAGTAAAAGCAAATCGGATATAATATTTAGCACAAAGACACCTGGCATGATCCAGTCTAAGACCAGTGTACATGTGTTCTTAGCAAACAAAGCCAGTAGTAAAGATGTTTGTGATTTCAAGATCAAAGGAAGCTGGTCGAAGAAAACCTGCACTGTCTATATAGGAGATACTTCAACAACAATCGCCCAAGTAATTTTCATAACTTTTAGTTTGTTTTCCGGTAGGTTTCCATGTTTTCAGTTATGTGTGTATAACTGAAAAGATATAAGTTCATAAACTTAAACGACGAGCTGAAACTAATTAATAGACTTATTCTTGTAGATGTATAAAACGCAATCACGGGAGAATGGGGAGTACGTTAAGGACAAATTCATGGTGACAATTTATCCCAATGTCGATTATGCTTTTGTGATGACACTTGTAGCGATCGTTGAGGCTATGAAAAGCTCCAACACAGATGAAGTTGTTGAGGAAGTTATTGGTTCACTTTTTCCTTAGTCATATCAGTTGCATTCTCTGTTCCTAAATTCCTGACTGGATTGTATTATATAATTCTTGAGTTTTCTTATGGGTTTTTAGCCATAGGGAAGGCCCTTCCTTTTTGACACAGATGATATATATGAAGATTGCAAGAATCAAGGATGGAAACCAAATCGATTCAAATCCCTGGCTGTAACATCAAGACTGCCTTTAAAATCAAAAATCGTCTTTCATCCAACTCACTAATCAGAAACGTCTTTCAATAATCACAATCTAATGTCTTTTATAAACGATCATAAGCCATGTAATTCGAGTTATGGAGGCCATATTCTCATTGGTGGTGGTTGTTTTTCCGAAGTGTTGTGATACTGATTGATGTTGGGTTGTTTTTCCGAAGTGTGATTTTTGATTTTTCTATGAGCTTAGATATCATATTATCAAGGGGGTGCAGGATGGTATTGTTTGGGTGTTTTTATTGACTATATGTAATATGTAAAGTGTATTTGGTTGTGGTTTTGCGATCCTCTACTTCACGTTGATAATCATGGGTGGGGAATTTATTCTCTTTGTATTTTTGTTGGTCCCAAGTAGCTGCTGGCATTGGTGTTTTATATTATTGTTGCTGTTCAAAAAAAAAAAGATATAGTTTCTAATTTTTCAATGTGTAAAAACACATGGTGTGTGTGTGGCTCGTAAAAAGAATGGGGGAGAAAGAGGTTACGGTTAAACTGATACATGATATGGAATTCTCATTATAGTATATTACTAGATGAAATCAAAAATTAAAATTTTGTTATATATATATATATATATATATATATATATATATATATATATATATATATATATATATATATATATATACTAGTGGTGTACCTGCGCAAAGCGGCGGGGTCGAATAGTTTATTTCGGCAATTAGTTTCATTCAAAAACATGTTATATTTTATGGAACATATTATGGGTGACAAATATTTTTCCTTTAAACATATTACTTTTGGTAATTAGTTTACTTTTGAAAATATTTCATATTCTAAGGAACACACAAATGACAGGTGGTTAGTAGTCTCTTTTCATCGAATAGTTATATTTTTGTGATTATTTTCCCAAACACATTTGTATTATGAAATAACCACATGCAATGTGGCAATACCTGCACAATGCTATGGCGACGAATATGTAAGAGAATTGCAATTTATGTATTTGAGATGTTTTAAATTGGTTTTTTCATTTTTTTGTTGGATTGATTAATCTTATGGTAAACTCTTTAACTCTCTGGTTTGGTTTGTGTTCATGACTTATGTCAAGCAAGACTAACTAAAAAATTGATAAGTCAAATATATTAATTTTTATATCTAATTTGATTTCTATGAATTTTGTTTCGTGAGTATGGACTCCGAAAGAGGATTAAAATGGATTGAAGAAATCAAAAGTCATTTGTATAGATCTAACAATTTTTTATAATAAGTCATCACCTGATGATTATGACCAATAATCCCAACTCTAATATACTTTTTTAAAACGTTGATCTTTAATTATTACTTATCAAAAACGAAATTAATCTACTTTTACAAAATCATGTGATATGATCCTTATTGGTTGTTTAATTTTTTTTCGCTTTCTTGCTTAGAAAATGTCATTAAAGAAAATTAATATTAACAATCTTTTTACAAATATTATAGAAGCTCACCTTGTATTTTTATACAATCTGATTTTTAAGTTATTAAAATCAATATTTATTATAACATTTCTTTATACACTATAGAGATATCTATAATTTTGAAACTTAAGGTGGTATTTGTAAATAATTTCAACTTGACAATGATTCAAAGATACAACACATTCGACCAAATTCATATTTTCATATAAAGGGGTATCCGTGCGATTGCGGACGCCGAATAGATTTTTTGACGTATAGTTTCATGTCGGTAATTACTATGCTTTCAGAGGACACCAGATAGTTTCTTTTCGAGGATTAATTTTTTTTTGCTAAACACGTGATATTCATTGAAATATTAGAAAGACGCTCGGTGGACGCATTTTTAATGATCAATTTTAAATTTGTCGGAAACATGTCATATTTATCGAAAACAAACTATTCACCCTATACCAATTTACATGGTACCGAAATTTATTTGTGGTTAACAAAATATTGTCAACCAGTTAAAGTTAATCAAACTCCATTGCACGAATATCCATTTAAAACTTTGTTCAATTATCTTTTAATACAGTCAATTTTGTGCATCAAAAGAATTCGGTTAAAATTTAATAAATGTAGGTTGGTAACTATATTCTTTGTCTACACAATTCTACTACATGAATCATTTTCAAAATTACAATTTTAATTTTTTTTAAAAAAATAAATACTATAGTTTTAAATTTTTCAGAATTCGATTAAACATAAATTATTGCAAGTTTGGCAAAAATAAATACTACAAATTTTATTTCTTTAAGGAAAACAGACATATCGTCTTGCTTATATAAAATCATCATTAATTAATTATAAATTGCATTAATTTCTAATTAATATGAATGCCTATTATTATTAAACATATTTAAAATATTTAACAAAAGAAATACCATCGTCCTTTGTATTATGATGATTCAAATTAAGATCATGAAGTGTGTGCTTCAAATGGTTTTTTACAAAGCAAAATAAATGAATAAATAAAAAATCAAAAGGATATTATCATTCGGACAAACTTCTACAATATCATATTAAAGTATCTCTTCCTCTGGTTCAATAATCTCTTCCTAACTGTCACTATAGATGAGAGCTTCACTTCCATTTTTGTTACAATAGATGCATCGCCTCCCAACAACTGACTGGTCATCGGCCATTCCCTGATTTCTGTGATCCAAAAAAAGAAAATGGTTCAACAATGTTCTCATGTTTATTTATATAATGTCATGTATTTATCCAGAAAAGAAAAAAAAGAGGGGCAATGACTAAAAAGAAAGCAGAGATGACGAAAAACTTGTCCAAAAATATCCAAGTAGTAAAAGGTGGTGTTTTATCTGCAGGTGGAAGCTTAACGCTTATGGAAATAACTACTTCTTGATTGGTAGTGTTATCATCACTTGATACTTAGCCAGTCAGAAGGCAAAGAGGATTTTTAATCCTCGAAGATAACATCTTATCCTCTCCATTGTTTTTATTAGAAGCATCAGTTCTAAGCATAGATAATGACAAAAGCTGAGAAAAATCGCTTCTTAACTTCTCTCTATTCTTCTCAACTTTTTCCTTTGCAATAGTAAAATGGTTATCACTTTTACATTCCATCATTACTTACAAACTTATTTATTATACCATTAAAAATTACTTCTTTATTGTTTCTAAGTAAATCAGTATTCATTCACTTGACAGTAGTTAAGAAAACTACTATATTCTCATTAGCAATTTCTGGATGGTACATGGTTAGGTCATGCAAACAAAAAAAATAATAACTACATAATACAAAGTACATCATAACAGGTATCAACTCACTGCAATCAAAAGAGTCCTTTCTGCTTCTTCAGTTCATTTATCCTTGATGTTAAGAATGCTAAATCACCAGAAAATTGCTCTCCCCGAAAATTTTGTCAATATAAGGAGGATGTGAATCAGGACAAGAAAATGTATTAAAGGATTAATATACAAATTCAACTGTCATCTATAGTTTCCAATAGCTCAAACAAAATGCCAAGATATAAAAATCGGAACAAAAATACAAAAATCTTCTCTATGAATTTAAGAAATATTTGAAGTATTGGAGAAATATAGTTCTCTTCAACCAATGCTCATATTCAACTATGCTTCACCAGTTAGTATTGACTCAACAGTTGTATCTATCTGCAAACGTACACCCCCCCCCCCCCCCCCCCCTCAAACACGGTATGGTATGCTTGCATGTTTGCATTCATATAAATACAAATCAAGTAATATCAAGATTAACATTAAAACAAATGGAGGATAGAAATCATTGTTACCTTTCAGCATGTCAACATGTGAGCTGTATGATTAAACCAGCTAAAATTTCTATCCCCTAAATGTAAACGAAAACAAAAAATTTAGACACATACGCAAATAAAGAAAAACCTGAAACATCATATTCACATCTTAATCATATAAAAGGTAGAAACAATTTAGGGTTGAATTCAACATCACATACGTGCTAAGTGGTGGAAAAATAAAATCAAAAAAAGATGTCAAATCCAGATATAGAAAGATGAAAATCAAACCTGAAGACATTTTTAGATTTCTAATTCTATAGGATGAAGTTTACGGATATCGAACCCTGACGTCAATTTCAAATTTCGAACATGGATGTTCAGCAACGTCGTCCTATTTCTCTGTAAGAATAGACGACAGAGATGGCGGTGTTGACTACTCCAGTGGTGCTCATTAGTGAGGATGGTGCGATGATGGTGTGAGTTATAGCCGATGAAGATGGTGGCGAGAAGATGTTGGGTGTTTGGGGAGCTCTTAGGGTTTGAGACCATTACTTGAACTGCTTTGTTGAATTGGTGATGTTGTAATGAATAAGATCGGTATTCAGTGGATGTAGAGCACAAAAAAAAAGAATAAAGAATAAAGTGGAAGCGCAGGTAGATGCGTTGCTGAGTCGAAACATGTCTAATCCTCATCAAGAAACAAAGATCAGCAAAACCCTACCTTCTGGAGCTCAGTCCCCAGGTGGTCGAATTCACCGAGAGACCGAAACAAGTGTAAGTTGGGGTTGCGGCCGGCCAAGAGCTGGAGATAGCCAAACCAAGGGGAGTTTTGGCCCAAGCTTTTCTCATACATGAGAGCTAGCCACAGTTGGTTGAAGGCAACTATGATTGTGGATGGTGGCAACGGTTGATTGAAGACAGAAAAAAAATCTACAGTTGATGGTGATTTAAAAAGATACGAAGGATGTTGCGATGGTGTATTCTTTGGAGGAAAAAGGATATGGCAGTTTGAATCAGTCTCCCCTTCAACGTGGGCAATATTGAGGGAACGAACCAGATAGGCTGACATTTAAGGATCCAACGTAGACTTATATGAAATACCTTGTTTTTGAAATTTAATAATATTATATTGTTGTTTACTTTGTACTGTTAGCTTAATTGTTTGGACGTCTTAAAAAAATAATATTATTATATTCAATCTATTTTTAGAAAAAATTAGATTTCTTTTATAAGATAGTATATATATATATAATATATATATATATATCTATATATATATATATATATATATATATATATAAAGTTTAGGACCTATTTTTATTAAATTATACACGACCTCTAAACTCTTAACTAAGAATTAAAGTTCAAATATTAAGGTAAACCTATCTTTTTTCGTTTTTATTTTAAATATTCATGATCACATGTTATCTTATCCAATTGCAAGTATAGTATATGTTCTTTAACTTATATGTAGTATTAGTTATATTAGTTATGTCCACTACTTAATTCGGTATAAACAATTATATCTTGATATAAAATATTTGACATTAATTATCCATACACCATCATATGTTCATAAACAAAAACAGTGCTACTCGATGTTGATGACAAACCCATCGTTACAATGCGTAAGAAGGTGACTTTTAGTTCAATTTTAATACTTCTTTTTTGTTATTTGGGTTGTTTTGAAAACTTGATGCTAAATTTAACATTGAAATGGATTAATCTATCTTCCAGATCATGAGTGAACACGATAGATGGAATGTATTCAAGGGTGACAGTAAAAGCACATCAGATATGATATTTACCACAAAAGCACATCACGTGATCCAGTTTAAGACCAACGTACATGTGTTCTTGGCAAACCAAATCGGTAGTAAAGATGTTTGTGATTTCAAGATAACAGGAAGCCGGTCGAAGAAAAACTGCAGTATTTATATGGGAGATACTTCAACAATAATAGCCCAAATAATTTCCATTCATTTTAGTCTTTTAGTTTGCTTTCTAGTTGATATCCCTGTTTTCAGTTACGTGATACATATAACTGATACAAGATTAGATAAGTTCATGAAAGTATGGCTCAAGCTCAAACTAATTAATTGACTTATTCTTGTAGGTGAATAAATTGCAATCATCTGAGAATATAAAGCTCGTTAAGGACAAATTCATGATGACAATTTATCCCAATGTTGATTACGCCTTTGTGGTTACACTTATAGGGATTGTTGAGGCTATGAAAAGCTCTAACACAAAAGGTGAAGTTGCTGCTGGATCAGGGGTGGGTGCAGTTCTTGGTGCAGTTTTTTCCTAGTCATATTAGTCGCATTCTATATGACAAATTCCCTATTGATTGTATCATAGAATGATTTATAGTTTGTCCCACATATCATTTTGTTAGTTGTAATTTGTGGAGAAAAATAAAGTGTGGTTAGGATAGTTTTGACAGTTTGTATATGTGTGTAGAAGTAGTTATACAACAACCCAAAAATATCAATGATTGTGGTATAAATATGTGGAGTATCATCAAGAATGGCTTTCTCAAACCCACAAACCAAAATATATAGATCTCAGTGCACACTAAAAAATGGAGTAAATGAAAACCGAAAGAAAGAGAAAAACAATTGGTTTCATTTATGATCATGCCAATGGGAAAGTGATTTTTGTGCTACTCTAAAAAAAATTTAGGTTATGTTTGAATTGTAAATGCAAATACAAACTACTCCAATAAGTTGTCCAAACTTGTTAAACCCAATTAGCCAGTGTCCATCACAAAATTAGTTTAATGAAACACAAAATTTAGCCCACTAATTGTGAAAAATCGGAAATCTGCAACTCAGCAAACCAATCAACGTTCACGTCTCACGCACGCTGCTACCTTCGGCCTTCCTTCTTTCTGCCGGCGATTTGCCTGCAGCCGTGGGTTTTTTCCGGCGAAATCCTCCGGTGGTGAGTGATTAGTGATCAAAGTGGACGATAAAACAAGTAAGTAACAAAAACAAACTCAATTCTATTATTTATTGTAGGTGTTGACCAGTGGATGTCATTGATCAATCAAGAGACGATGTTTGACTTTGTCAAAACAGTGCCGTGTTGAGACTTGCAACGTTTCCTGACAAACTTCCTATATAAGTAATCCACCAACAGGAACAGATCTTCTTTATAAGAAACCTTTCATTCGTACTCTTAATCAAGAACGATCTACCTGTATGTATCGACGATGGCTCAACCGAGCTATGCACTATCCTCTCCAATCTCTGTGATAGGGTCTCGGTTCATGGTACCATATCAATTTGATATTATAGTTGATAGAAGTTCAAAAGGAAACCTTGTGATTACTGATACGAACCATAAAATCTTGCTCAAAGTGAAACCATGTGACGCATCTTATCAACGGGTGCTACTCGATGTTGATGACAAACCCATTGTTATGATGTGTAAGAAGGTGACTTTAAGTTCAGTTTTAACTTTTAATACTTCTTTTTTGTTCTTTGGGTTGTTTTTGAAAATCGGAAGCTACGTTTAACATTGAAATGGACTAATATATCTTCCAGATCATGAGTGAACACGATAGATGGAATGTATTCAGGGGTGACAGTAAAAGCAAATCGGACATGGTATTTACCACAAAAACACCTCACGTGATCCAGTCTAAGACCAATGTTCATGTGTTCTTGGCAAACAAAACCAATAGTAAAGATGTTTGTGATTTCAAGATAAAAGGAAGCTGGTCGAAGAGAAACTGCACTATTTATATGGGAGATACTTCAACAACTATAGCCCAAGTAATTTCCATACATATTAGTTCGTTTTCAATATTTTCTAGTAGATATCCATATTTTCAATTACGTGATATAACTGATACAAGATTTGGTAAGTCCGTGAAGGTAAAGCTCAAGCTAAGACTAATTAATTGACTTATTTTTGTAGGTGAATAAAATGCAATCATCTGAGAATATAAAGCTCATTAAGGACAAATTCATGGTGACAATTTATCCCAATGTTGATTACGCCTTTGTGGTTACACTTATAGCTATTGTTGAGGCTATGAAAAGCTCTAACACAAAAGGTGAAGTTGCTGCAGAAGTTACTGGATCAGGGGTGGCTGAAGTAATTATCGGTGCAATTTTTTCCTAGTCATATTAGTTGCATTCTCTACGCCTAAATTCCCCCTGAATTGTTTCACGGAATGATATATAGTTTGTCCCACATATCATCTTTTACCATGCCTATGGATATGGTATGATTAGCAATTAAAAAAGACATAGATCACGGATTATGGTTCCTTAATTGTGTAGGAAGATATAATCTAGCTAGGCTTATTAGTTGTAATTTGTGGAGAAAAAATAAAGTATGGTTAGGACAGTTTTGACAGTTTGTATAAATGTGTAGAAGTAGTTATATAACAACCCAAAAATATAGAAGATTGTAATATAAATATGTAGCAACTGTGCAGATGTATGTCCCCTTTTGTAATAAGTATATATGATGGTGTATTAGTATTAAACATAATTAGTAAAAAAAAAAACCGGGCTTAGCCTAGGGTCGGCCTTTTTTTCGTATTGTGTTATAACAAATTTCACAAAGATTACCGGAATACGTTGTGTATAATTCAAAGAAAAGTTTTTTTGTTTGGTGCGATATTTTAGATTGAAAAGAGTTTTTTACCTTTTCCCGGCCTTTGATTCCCCTTAATCATAAAGGGTCCGATTAAGAATTTAAGCATTTAAAAAATCAGATGACATTATGTTTTTATTTGATATATAAAATCACTTTTTATACTCAACCCTCTATAGCAGCCAAATAAGTGTTAACTACCACAAAAGAAGGGTCCGATTAAGAATTTAAGCATTTAAAAAATCTGATGACATTATGTTTTTATTTGATACATAAAATCACTCTTTATACTCAACCCTCTATAGCAGCCAAATAAGTGTTAACTACCAAAAAAGCAATTTAAAGAGTGTCCGATAAGCATCGGGGATCCCCACCCTTTCTATTTGTTGGAAATTCATCTGCTGGTTTGATTTAAAAGGTGTTTTCAGTTCCTCGATATAACACACATAATATAATCTTTTGGTGTTGCATTTGGTAAATGAAAATGCCACTTAAATACACACTACATATAACATATAATATAGTAAGTACCATTGTTGATTGGACCAGTTTCGGATCCATAATTGCAAAGCACAATAAACATAATAATCATGAGGACAGAATGAAGCTAATATAATTTCTGGTTTGGTTTTTGTCAACATATATACACACATGAAACAAAACAAATACCTTCAAAGAAATCCCAAACGTGCGAAATAATGGATTCATGTACCTTCAAAGAAATCCCACCCATAAGAAATAAGCAGCTCTATGATATGTTTAGCTTTTCCGGCAGTAGTTGTTGCAAATTTGGTTCTATCTTTTTTATCTTGTTTCACAACATCTTTGGTGTTCGGTTTCTTCTACTCAATTCATTGTTGCTGGCAACCACAAGTTGATAGGCAAGTGTGTTCCTGAACTCTGCATATGTATATCCAATTATAGCATCATACTTTCAATTTACTTATTTATATGGTATTTGCTATAAATGGTTAGATTTTTCAAAATACAATGATGTTATAAAAGAAATGCTATAATAAACAAATAATCGAAAGTATGTTGATAGTTCTTGCTACCACGACAAAACATGTACATATAATAGCCTTGATTAAGATTTTCAAAAGTAGTAATTTTTAACTTATTTTCAATATATATATATATATATATATATATATATATATATATATATATATATATATATATATATATATATGTCTTAATAATCAAAAAATTAAAAACATATTGTTCTAAGGCTGGAGGGAGTGGTGCCAAGTTTGCCACAGTCCACATAGGCGCCACCTAAGATTTGCCACACTATTTCAAAAATTTGTCATTTACGGGGCATGGGTTGCCATTTTTGCAATGTTAAAAAAAATTGAAAAAAAATAAAAAAATAAAAAGAATAAAGGCATTGTGATTGGTTGGTCAAAAAGTCAAATGGAGGAAATGGGGAAGAAAGCTCGGTAAGTTATTGCCGAAAGAGTTGCCACTTTTGCCATGTTGAGGGGCACGGCGCGGTGTTTGCCGAGTTGGTTGCCGAGGTATCCGAAGTCCACACCGTCCAGCCTAATAGAAATAAAAGAATTAAGATGCTATAATAAATGAAAGTATGTTGTTACTTTTTGCCTTTAAGCACCATTACGTACACCTTGAAAAAACATCTTGTAATGGTAATAACTATAAGGTAAAAGTCAGAACATGTGACAGTTTTGTCGATAGATGTTAAGTGTATAAAAAATAAGATAATAATAAAAATTGGATTTGTATTAACAAAAAAAATATTAAGGAAAAAAAGACCAACCTCTTATTTCATGTCAATTTTTCCGAGATGTTAATTTGTTGACGATTGAGCAAATCGTTCCTTTTGAATGTGAATGTAAATCCCCGGTTATCTACTTCATCACTTCAAAGACATATCACATATGGTAAAGGTTAAATAGTTTTTTTTTACAGAGGAAAAATTATTGAATGTGAATTGGAAACTTGTAAAAAATAACTTGATGTTGGTTTTGATAATATGTTAGTTATCTCATTAAAGAATCCAAGATCTCATGTGGAACTGCAAGCCATTATATCAATCATTTCGTACATAAGTCATTTTGGAATGATATGGATTATGACATATGGTTTAGGACTTATGATTTATGGCTTAATGCATATGGATTAGGACTTAGGGCTTAGTTCTCATGGTTTAAGGCCTATAGCTTATATGGCTTATGGCGTTAGCTCACGGATTAAGACTTAGGACTTAGGCTTACAGTTCGTGTCGTATGGCTTGTGACTTATGAATTATGAATAATAATGTATAACATATGGCTTATGCTTCTAGCCCATGGCTTAGGGTGTATAGTTTAAGGCGTAAGATATATAGCTTGTGGCTTAGGACTTAAGGCTTAGAGCTTGTTCCTTATGTATTATGACTTAAGGATTGTGGATTATGCATATGACGTATGTCATAAGACTTAAGGATTTTGAATTAAGGCTTCTGATTTATGATTTAAGGCTTAGTGTTTATGGCTCAAGGCTTATGGCTTATGAATTACGACTTATGGCTTATTGCTTATAGCTTAGGGCATATGGGTTAAGGATTAAGGCTTATAGGTTATCACTTATGGCTTATGGCTTATGGCTTACGACTTAATGCTTAAGGCTTATAGCTTAGGGCTTAAAGCTCATTCCTACAAGCCCACACTAATGCATACCCCACCCACCTCGACTTCATCCCCACCTCCACACCCATCCACCTACCCAACCCACATACTACCCACCTCACCTATATCTACATCCATACTCATACGCCCACCACCCTCACCACATATGTACCTACACCACCCAAATATATACCTACCCTACCCTCACACCCACACCCACATGCTCACCCCACCTTACCCCATATTTATCCTAACCACACCCTCATCACATACATGCACCTATATTTATACACCCATTGCACAAGCCCACACCAACACATACCCTACCCCCACCACACCTCTAACTCACCTGACACTTCCATACTACACACCCTATCCCTACCACCTTGTCCTACACAAACCTCCTCATACCCATACTCACACCCACACCTATATCCCCACCTTACCCTTACATTCACCCACCCATCGTTGCACTGACACCCATAACTACATGCATTACTATGTAAATAGGTTTTAACTTTCATTGTTGTATTTAACTCTTCAGGTTGAGTTTACATATATTTCGAGTTTATTCTAATTTTAATTATATATATATATATATATATATATATATATATATATATATATATATATAGTTTATTTAATATTTTTTATATTTAAAATATGTTAATTGCTTCAAATATATTTAAAATTTCACCACCAACCCACTCGCTCACTCCATGCCTCAACAACTACCATTACCCCACCTTACTTCTACGCCACCGACCTTAACATCAACACCCATATACACCCCTCCCCACCCCACCTAGACCTACACACCCCAACCGATCCCACATCGACATGCATACGGTTATGCCCGTGCAAACGTCAACACAATATCAAATATAAGAATTGGTTTATATATTTTTTTTTATGATTTTTTATTATTAATCAAATATTTGAACAAACACATTATTTATTAGTAATCACAAGACAATAAAAAAACCATGTTGCACTGCATATGAAATTTTGAATATGAATTTGATTCCCTCTATCCTTCCTCTTCTAAAAAATTTATATTATCAATTATCAATTTTTTATTTCCTCACATGTAGAAACCCTAAATTTTGGTGAAACCACCCAAGGGTACAATGCACACTAGGACCGCTGAGCTCTACATTAGCTCCATATTCTCCTTTGTCAGCCACTCTATTTGGCTTTATTTTTATTTTTACTTCTATAAGCCTATTGTTCTATTATAGTCAGAGTTGTAAACGAACCGAACGTTCAACGAACTGTTCGTGAACCGTTCGGGGAAAAATTCGTTTATGTAATAAATGAACGGACATGAACACATATTCCCATTCGTTTTATTAAATGAACGAACATGAACAAATATCTTGTCCGTTCAATTATGTTCGTGAACGTTCGTTTATGTTGTTGTTTACGTTCGTTTATGTTCGTTCATTTAAGATCCTTTTATATTCATATATGTTAAATTATGTTTGATTGCATTATTATATTTTATGTTTGTTTATGTTAATATATGTTTAATTATGTTTGTTTATGTTCGTTCGTTTATCATGTTCACATACATAAATACACGAAGATGAACAATGTAATTTGTTAAATGAATGAATATGAATAAGAAAAATCGTTTGTTTATCCGTTCGCATTCGTTCTTTTGTTCAGCTAAATTAAATGAACGAACATAAATAACCCTCGACCCTAATTATAAAATATCTTGTTCAAAGTGTTTCATGGTGTTACGAAATTAAAGAATTTATCGTAAATATTGGCAACCATATACAGCCCGTTAAAACCTATTTCACCGGTCCCACAGGTCCATTTCACAAGACACCCTTATTTTTTATTTTATTTTTTTAAATAAATTAGTTTAATTTATCATTT